GTTAATGCTTTTACACACTTAGTTTTGCTAAATGGGGACCATTCCTGTCAGAGAAAGTGATCATCAGATCGCTTATGGACCTTTGGACCTTGATTGCTTGAAAAGAAAAAAACTTGACCTAAGAGTGAGAACCTAAATGTGAGCTTTGCTGTCTGCGACTCTATGGCACATATTATTTCTCAATAGGATACTGCAGTTAAGTTCCAGGAACACAAGTTTACATTATTTTCTGTTTTCTTATAATGATAGGAGATATTTGTCCTTGAGGGGATCTTATTTGTTTGACAGTTTCCTTAAAGATATTTAGAAATCATTTGAGACTGTGTGCTCTCTATTTCCTTGTTAATGGGTCATGAATTTTTACAGAGATGTTTGAATCATGGCTCATTTATCTCTAGATTGTACAAGGGTTAGTGAAGTAAGTGCTTGGAAACTTATGTGGGGATATATTCCATGGCAAAATACATAATCCCTTCCAGACTTTCAATGATGTTTAAATGGGGAACCCATTTAAAAAGTATTTCTGACAATGTTTTAATGGCAACTGGGATTCCAAGCAAACTACAGCATTTAAAAAACAAATACATATGCTTCCCATGTGAATCTTCCACTCTTAAGAGAGCCAGTTTCATGGCTTAATTAGCCTTGTTGACAGTAAATAAGTTGGTTAAAGTGCCATATTCTATCTGGATGTCTCCAGAGTAGATTCAAACCCTGCTCACACAACATCTACAGTGCTAGATGACCTGTAGAGAGGGGACGTGGAGGCTCAATATGGGAAAATTAAACAGGTTATGCAAAATTTTCATGGAAGAAGTTTAGAATTTCATTGCTCACCATTAGTTGTTGATATGGATATGGATGACTTGGAACATTGAACCAAGAAATTGGATGACTTAATTTGAATATTTTGATTTAGACTATGTCTTTTTTTTTAATGATTACAATTCAGATGAAGTGGAAGTTTTATGATCTGCCTGATTTTGATTTGCAAAAAAGTGAATGACTATCATTTCCCAATTAATTGCTCTTATTTAGGAATAGTACTATAGCATGATATTTATGTATATGATACCTTATCATCAGAATCCTGTTTATGTGTCTTCCGCATGGTTGTATGACTGTTATGTTTCATAGCAATGGGCTTTTTCTGAGTACACTGAGCTGTATGTCACTCTTAGGGAGTATCCTATCACTCTCCATCAGTAACGGATCCCACTCTCACTGCGGATGCTCTGGACAAAACAATTGCAGAATTTGATACTGTGGAAGATCTACTCAAGCACTTCAATCCTGAATCATGGCAAGATGATCTTGAGAATCTGTATTTGGACACTCCTCATTATCGAGGCAGGTCATACCATGACAGGAAGTCAAAAGGTAAGAAACAGAACACTGGAGGGTCTTCATAAGCAGATAAGAGTCTTAAGAGTAATAATAATAAGTAAGGATTGGCAATACAATATATTTAATTCACTTAAATCAGATGATGATTGTCAGTCCATTATCCCACATNTGCCTTCTGTGAAGGTTTAGACTCTCATTGTCCCATCTGAGCACCCCACTGGCTCGCTGGTCTGACACAGAATAAACCAGTTTCTGCTACCTCTGAAAAATACCAGGAGTGCCAGCAAAAAACGTGTACATATTTTAAGAGATGTTGTCTATGCTGAAGCAGTAGTTTGCCATAATCAGAAATGTCTGGATGCTGATGGTAACCACTTTGAGCACCTCTTGTAATTACAGAAGTCAAACGTGACTTGTATTCACTTTTTGTTATCAGTATATATTGAGTATTACAATTAATACAGTTTTCTTCTTTCTTAAGTGTGTATACATTTTTTTGGCATCCTCTGTATGTAACAAACAGTGTGACATAGGCACTGACCTGTCAGAATGGATTCCAGCTATAAACTCCTGCTTTGCCTGTACTTAGGGGGAGCAGCTGAATGTCATCTCTGAATGTATACAGGAAACCAGAGAAATTAGAGCATAAACATTCCTCAAAATAAATAAAAATAGAACTACCATATGATCAGTAGTCCCACTTCAGGATATAGATGCAAAAGAAAATCACCATTTGGAAGAGATATCTACACCCCCATGTCTATATGAATATATGAAGAAAATATGATGTATTACATTCTCTCTCTATGTGTGTGTGTGTGTGTGTGTGTGTGTGTGTGTGTGTGTGTGAAATATACACAATGGAATAATATTCAGCCATGGGAAAGAAGGAAATCCTGCCATTTGTAACCACATGGATGGACCTCCTTCAGGGCATTATGCTAAGTGAAATAAACCAGACACAGAAAAAACAAAAAACCATATGATCTCACTAATATGTGGAATCTCAAAAAAAAAAGAAAGAAAAAAGAAAAGAAAAGCCAGACTCATGGTTTCCAGGAGCTGGGGAGTAGAGGAAATGG